TATAGCCTAGTGACTCAGTTATATATAATTATTAGTTTATATTTATTTATTATATATTTATTTATTATTATTAAGTAAATATTTATATTTATTTATAAATATATGTTTAGATTTATATTCTTTATATATAAATATATATATATTTATATTCTTTTTCATTATAGGTTATCATAATCTATTCAGTATAGTTCCCTGTGCTGTACAGTAGGACCTTGTTGTTTATCTATTTTGTATATAGTAGTTTGTATCCGCTAATTCCAAATTCTGAATTTATCCTTCCCCTCTCTTTCCCCTTTGGTAAACTTTGACAAGTTTGTTTTCTGTCTGTGTGAGACTGCTAGCCTTTAAAAAGCCTGCTTGCAAGTTTGGCCGTCGGCTGGCATCTGGGAACTTGGATTTCGGGCGGATTCCTGCCGTTGCCCAGTATGAGTGGCTCCCGGTGCCCACTCATACTGTGCAGACAACGTGGTTTATGCTGAACACCGCTTTCCTCCTGGGACTCCGGGATTTGGGTATGTGTTAGGCAGAGCGTGCCTACGTGACCAGTCCCCAGCAAGAACCTCGGACGCTGAGTCTCTGCTGAGTTCCCTGGCTGACAACACCTCGCATGTGTTTTCACAATTTGCTGTTGGAGGAATTAAGTGCCTCCTGTGTGACTCCGCTGGGAGAGGACTCTCGGAAGCTTGTGCCTGTATATCCTTTTGCTGTAATAGATCACAGCTGTAGCTAGGACTATGTGCTGAGTTCTGTGAATCTTCCTGATGAATCAGTCACTGAACTTGGGGATGGTCTTGGGGACCCCTGACACACGCTCTAATGCTGCAGCCAGGCCCAACAGGTGTGCCTTGCCCAGGGCCACAGTTTGGCATCTGGGACCTCCCTTTTTGTCTGAAAGACCGGTTGAATGCTTCAGTTATGATTACTATCTCATTCTCTAAGACTCAACTCAAATAATCACCTCCTCTGTGAAGCCTTCGGTGATTACACCTTCCTTTCTTCTTCCCCCACATTCCCGATCATGACTCACAGCTTATACGCAGGCAGCCTGAAAGGGAAGGTACTCTCACTGTAGGTGGCCAGGAGTTTCATAGAATTAACAGTAGGGGAGCTATGGAGACCTGGATTCAGATCCCGACTCAGCGTCTGCTAGTTGCTTGCATGCCTCCCCTTTGAGCCTTGTTTTTTGTCATCTGCAAAATTGGGGCAGATAAGATTAAGTTTGCTTACATGAAACAGAAAACCCAAATAACCATAGCTGAAACAAATTAGAGGTATTTTTATCTCTCATGAGAAAGAAGCCCAAGGTACTTAATACAGGACTGCTTCATAGCAACCTGGTTATCAGGGATCCAGGCTCCTTCTAACTGACACCCTCAAGTTCTCCTCATAGTCCAAAGTGACTGCCTGTTTTCCAGCCATTGCACCTGAATCTGAGGTAGGAAGGATGAAGATGGGAAGGGCTCCCCTTAAAGGGCTCTTCCTGAAGCTCTTTCTGGCCAGGGGTCAGGGCCTCTGCTTCCTTCATGTACACTAGGTGGAGGTCCATAGTTGATTATGGGACAACAGTCCCCAAACTTGGGATCTGGGAGGTCCCCAACAACTACCACTGCCATCTATGGAATGCTTACTACCTGCCAGGTACTGTGTTCAGTGCTCGCACATCATCTCATTTAATCCTTTCCACACCCCAGTGAAGTGTATTACAATCCCTGCTTTATAGACGGGGGAACTGAGTTCAGAAAGGTTAAGTCACTTGCCCAAGGTCACACAGCCAGGAAGAGGCAAAGCTCAGATTCAAGCCCTGCACTGACTTCATTCTCACTCTGAATTGTGCAAACATCATTTCGAACATTTAGAAAGAAATTCAGTGGCCTGCTTACCCCGTAGGGGAGAGATAAAAAAAAAATTCCAGTACTTAAATCAAATTGTAGCAAAAGCACAGGAGCAAAACTTTCTGTTTGTCCCAAAGCTCAGAATTCCTCACCTGGACACAGCTAGCTCGAGAGAAAGAGAACCGGATGGAACTTAGAGGTGACCTTGTTTTATATGCAAGATAACTCAGACCTGGAGAGGGAGGGGACTTAGGGCGCATAAGGGACAGAACCCGCCCTTGAACTCCTTTGGGATGCAAAGTTACAGTACTCCATCCATCCATCCATTCACACATCCATCCATCCATTCACACATCCATCCATCCTTCCATTCACACATCCATCCACACATCCATCCACATATCCAACCATCCATTCATCCATCCAATCAGCCATTCATCCATCCATCCATCCATCCACACATCCATCCATCGGTACATCCGTCCATCCGTCCATCCATCTGTCCATCCACCCATCCATCCATCCACAATCCATCCATCCGTCCATCCATCCATCTATCCATTCATTCAGTTGGTGTTCACTGAAGTCCTACTACATGCCATGTGCTGTTTTTGGCATTGACACATGACAGACAAAAATCCCGACCTTCGTAGGGCACATGGTTAAGTCAGCTGCGTTGGGTGGGACATGGCAGGTGGTGGGCAGGATGAGTGTCTGGGATGAATCATCTCTGAAGTCCTTCCCCTTCATAATTTTCTCTGATTTCTCATTTTTTTTCTCATGACTCGGAACTGGAGGCAGCCTCTGGTGGATGTGGCATCCTTCCGTCTTGGGACTGCTGAGAGTCTGGCCTGTAAGACCTGAGCAACAAGCAGGGCTCCAGAAGCCCAGGGCTTTCCAAACATGCCTGATTTCCACCAGACCTATCACTCCTCATCTGGGTTTGGCCACAGGCCCTTTGGGAGCCTGGAGGACAGAGGGACAGAGGGAAGCCAGATGCAGGGAGGTTCCATGACTCAGCCAAAGACAAGGATGAGGGTC